GGGTCTGATGAAAACACGTCAGCTTTCGTTTCCCCTGTCCCGTGTGAGCCTGGTCACGGAGACAGGCAGCTGCCCAGCCACTCTGCCCTCACGGTGGACCTTGCCCGGTCCCAGCGCATGCTGGGAGGACTTCTGTGGAGAGCCCACGGATCCAGCCCTTCAGGAAGGTGACGCTGGTCTGTTGAGAGGCCAGGAGTCTTGAGCGGCTGAGGACATCTCCTGAGCTTTCCAGTGACGTAGAGCGTGGGTTTCCTGGCTCCTTCACAGGGCCCTCCCAGAGTGGGAGGTGAGGTAGTTTGTTTGTCCGGTGCGTTTTTGGTGTTGAGAGTTCCCTTGCTCTGGCCTTCGTCATTGTGCTAGCTAAGAAGACAGATTCTTGGGTTCCTGTCTCCTTGGGCAGCTTTCTGAGCCCCTGCGTCTTAGGTTCTCCCGCTGCCCGCGTGGTCATGCCTGCTGAAGCAGGGGAAAGCAGCACTGGGCCTGAGGGCAGAAAGTCTCTGCTGCTTCCTGCCCCAGTCCTACCACCTTCCTCAAGGAGAAGGCTTGCCTTCCCTACAGCCTCAATCTGCAGCAGTCTCTTGTAGAATGTTCTTTGCCACTTACTGTCTTTTCTCTTCAGTGCAGTATGTACAGTCTTATTGTTGCTTGGCTCTGAGTGCATATGTCCTGTCTTCTCACCTGGTAGTCCTTTGGTGCCTGGACTGAGTTGTACACCTGCAAACATCCAGATCCTCAGGCATTGCTTTCTCAGGACTGACGCTCATGTGTCACTGGGTGATGCTGGTGCCCTTGAACAAGTACTAGCCTGGCTATGCGTGGACCTCGAGAGCTTCTACGCAGTGGAGCTGTGCTCGTCCATCTGTAAAACAAAGATCTCTGTGGTCCCTCCTGCCCTGACATCTTTCTATTTATTGCGTCCAGGCCCATACTTTATTTTATTTTGCAGTGATGACAAATCCTCACTCTTAATATGGCAGCTTTGTTTTAGGCTTGTCCTAATTTCAGGCATGAGTAGTGAGAACTGGTGATCTGAACCGACATGTAGGACTGAGCGGCAGGAGCTGGTTGGCATGTGTGCGTGTCTTGGAGTCTGGGCCTGCCCTTGCCCAGTTGTGGAAGGCACTCATGAGGAGTTTGGTCATATTAGTGTAGAAGTTAAATCTCTTGGCCTGAATAGAATTGAGCTGTTTTGCTTTAAACTGGCACCTTCATTTTGTGTCCACTGGGCCCGTTCTTCCTTCTTTTCGTCTCTTCATCATCCTGTTTGTTTGTGTGGCCAGGCACAGTCTGTAGCCAACTCTGATCAGATGGTGAAAACTGATGAGACCAGATGGCAGCTTCTGGGCGTGGCGATGTTCTAGCAGTCGTAAAAGAAATAGAGCAAGAAGAAACTGGACTCCTCCCTGAGTTCTTCCTCGCAGATGCTTTATAGTGCTCCTGATGATTGTGAGAACACACAGAGCACCTGCTGGGTGCCAGGTGTTCTTCCAGGCACCTTTGTGCATCAGTCCCCTTAACCCTGACAGCCACGCTGTGGGAGAGGTGCACTTACTACCCTTCAGAGATCAGGAAGGGGAGGCACAGAGGTGAGGTATCCTGCTTAGGGTCACACACGTGAGTGGGAACAGCTGCAGTGGTCTGTGTGAGAGACTCATGGGGGTTGGTCTTCTAGCTGTCTTTCTGCCTAAGGCAGTGATTTCATGTGTTTGTGAAATTAGAACACCTGAGATTTAGTTTTGGTATACCTTTCATGTGTACATTACTAATTCCCCCCCCCCTTTTTTTTTTTGGTGAGAAAGATTGGCCCTGAGCTAATATCTATTGCCAATCTTCTGCTTTTTGCTTGAGGAAGATTGTTACTGAGCCAACGTCCATGCCAATCTTTCTCTGTTTTGTATTTGGGATGCTGCCACAGCATGGCTTAATGAGCAGTGTGTAGGGCCGTTCCTGGGATCCGAACCCACAAACCCCGGGCTGCCCAAGTGGAGCACACGTACGTAACCACTACGCCACTGGCCCGGCCCCTATTACTAATTTCTAATATAATTTATATTGTTAATAAGTATTCAGTAAACCTTTCATTGAAGTATTAATGCAGAAAATGAACAAATCAAAAGAACAGAAAATCCACCAATCTTGAATTGTCACAAAAAGAGTATACCCAGGACAAGAAATGGAACATTACCCGCACTGCAGAGGCTCCCTTCAGGCCCCCTCTCTTGTCCCCAGTGGTATCCACCATTCTGACTCACTATTTCTGAACTTTTCATGTGCTTATTTTTAAAGTGAATTAGAATTTGGGGCAAGTTTTGATGTTCCCCTAAATAGACTAGAAACATCCTAGGGTGTTGTGAATGGATAGAGTGGGTTCATGGAGTTTGCCTCCTAAATATTTAGTTTCATTAGAGAGATCCTGGTGTGAGAACCCAAACCCTAAAGTAGAATGGTCTCCATCAAACACATGCCCCTCAGGGACTGCAGAGGGTCTGCGGCCTGTTACAGGCTGACGAGTGAGCCCCCTGCAATTCTGTTAGTGTCGCAGGGGACAGGAGACCCGGCTCCAAGAGCAAGGGTCCACTGGCATGGCCCAGCAGGCTCCATGTGTGCACCTGCTCCTCCTGCCTCTGACTTCCCAGGTTGACACTGCACACCCTGTGGGTGTGTGTCTCAGCCGAGGAACCCTCCAGTCTTATGAGGGGCTGCTAGCAAGCCTGCCTAACCCTTGCCTCCAAGGGGACAGTACCCTATTATCCTGGTCAAGAGGCAGGTCTTCTCTTGACCAGGAGGGAGACCTCATCTGCAGCTACAAGAAAGGTAGTCTGGAAGCCAGCCCAGATTAAAGTTCAGCACTCTCACCACTTTGGCGGCCCAGATTTATGTCCTAGTCACGGAACCACACCCCCTATCTGTCAGTACCTCTGCTGTGGTGGCAGCTCACAGAGAAGAACTAGAAGGACCCACAACTAGATATACAACCATGCACTGGGGCTTCGGGGAGGGGGAAAAAAAGAGTAAGATTGGCAACAGATGTTAGCTCAGGGTGAATCTTCCCCAACAGAAAAAAAGGAAGATAGTCTGGGACAAAGGCTGACACAGATGTGGGGAAACGACATGGAGAATTGACTCCTAAAGATGTTCATCTCTTGTTTCTGTATGATCTTGGCTTTGGTGAATTTTCCCACATCATTCCATCAACCACTCTGATTAATCTGACTAGGATGAAGTCTGTGCAGTTTGTTTCCAACCATATTAGTTAAGGCTCCCATCAGTAGGACTGTGGGCTGCCAGCCTGCAGCATTGATCTCAGCCATGCTGAAGCCCCGCTGGACAAACACTGTAAACCATTTAGTCACAAAGTGTTCCCTGAGTTAGGTTGTGAATAAAATTTGGTGCTTGCCCTCTGAGAGCTTGCTGTCATACACGCGTGGTCACTCTACCGTGGAGCAGATGCAGTAAGTGTACACGAAGGGTCTGTACAGCCCCATGAGGAGGGAGAGGCTGAGGACTGGGCCCCTCCCATTCTGGACTCTGGAAAGAATATTGCCGTGGCAGTGGGGGGCGTTAGAGTGCCAAAGGCAGGGGATCAGTTAGGCTGCTGCCATGGTCCTCTGAAGACTCCCTTCCCGTTCCTTCCCATACCCACAGCCCTGTGAGCTTTGGGGTTTTGCTTGCATTATCTCACTTTGTGTTTGATGGTACGTTGCCTGTTCTCAGATCGCTTTGTTTCTGTATAATTAGAGATCTCGACACAAAATTGTTGGACACAAGCTCTTCAGGTGCAGCTACTGCCTTTTTTGTTGTCTCGTCCAGCCTAGTGTTGCTTGATGTGGTGTCAAGTACAGTAATTACATTGAGGAGTCTGGGCCTTTGGAGTATAACTGAAGAAATTCATAGAATTGCTGTGGACTTCAAGCTCCAGGAGCCAGGAACTGTGTCAGTGTTGCTTCTCTTGTACCTGCAGCCCAGCATGCATGGCGGGGACTTAAAACTTGTTGATGGAATGCAGAGAGTCCTTGTGGCCTCCAGCCATTCTGTGAAAGCCACATTTTTCAATATTTTAAGATGATATTAGTTATTTGTTCTCCTATTTTTATAAGTGAAGTCAATGCCATAATTAAAGTGTGTGTGTATGTGTGTGTGAGAGAGAGAGAGAAGTGGAAGAAATGCCACATTACAGGTGGATCTGCCTGGAAGAGCATGGGACTGGGCGTTACCAGGCCTGGTTCCAGTGGGTCAGTGTCACGAACCTGTGGTTTGATGTTGTAGGAGGTTCTCGTCCTCTCTTGGTCTTGTATTCTTTATCTGTACAATGAGAGGGTTAGACTAAATGTTCCATAGGATTATTTCAAGTCTGTCGTTTGTGACTTTTCAAACTGCATGGATAAATGTAAATTGTAGATATGAATATTACACCTTCATTACTTACAACTATATGAATAATTACATATAACTACATACTTGTGGAGAACTCTGTAAAAGTGAGATTCAAGAAGGGAAAAGTGTGTCTATAGGATTATTTTCTCTATGAAATTGTTTATAAAAGTTTCAAAAGGAGAATGTTCATTTAGAAACCTATAAGGAATGTGTAGTTATAAGGTCCTTGCAGCCGAAAGGGCGTTCCAGTGAAGGACCCTGGGTTGTGGTTCCAAGCAGTTTCCTTCCTTCAGTCACGTCCAGCAGTGGACGCTGGCCTGAGTGGGTATTCCAGTGGGTGCAGAGCCCCTGGGGGCCTGGGGCTTTGGGGAGAGCGCAAGTCTGGGACATGGGATTCTCGCTGCTGGCCCCAGCCCTCCTCTGTCTGCTGTAGGATGAGGGCTTCATCCTGCCTGTCACAGGTAGGGTGAGAGCCCTTGCTGGGCGAGGACTCGGCTGTGCGCTGGGGTCTCCGATGTGCTCAGGATCCACACCATACCCTGGCTGCCAGGGTCCTAGTGCCTCTAGTCCAGGGGTGATGACACATTTTAGCCTCACTCACCCACTAATTTGTCCCTCTCCTTCAGAGGCAGAGTGGCCTTGGCCGTGGTGCAGGCCAACCCCGGAACCAGATGAGCAGAGACATCTGTGTCCACACCTGGCCATGCTCCTACTATTTAGAACGTGAGAAGCGATGGGTCCCTGGAAAACTTTCATTAACTTCTCTCTCACTGAAATTTACAACTGATAAAACTGGAGACATTCTTGTCAGCTTTCCCCTTGCTAGTATAAGTGAGGTCAAGAAAGAGGCCTCTCATTTTATCTTCAGTTCTATCACCATCCTGGAAAAGGACCACATCAAGCACTGGTTCAGTTCCTTGCAGCCTAATCGGAATGTTGTTTTCAACATCATCGAACATTTCTGGAGACAGCTGCTGTTGTCTCAGCCAGGAGCTGCTCTTGAGGAGCCATCCTCCTCCATGACCAAGGGAAAGGAGCTGACAGGTCTGATGGCCTGTTCCCAGAAGCGTCTAGAAGATACAGCCAGAGTCCTCCACCATCAGGGTGAGCAGCTGGACAGTATCGCGAGAGGCCTGGACAAGATGGAATCTGACCTGGATGTGGCTGACAGGTAAACACTGTAACCCTGACCTGACCTGGGATGGCTGGGGTGTCTTGTCCATCATCCCATGTTTGATACGCATCTGACATTCTGAAAACGTGGGGTACGCCCCTGTTGTGGGCGGTTACAGTGGGCTGCGGCCATGGGCATACAGATGGTAAGGGCCAGCAATTACTGAGTGCCAGGTACCCACAGTGTGCCAGTACGGTTTAAGTGTTTAATGAGGATTTCCTCATTTGATCAACAGATAAGCCAAGATAACATGTTATTCGTAACTTCATTTCACGTGTTGGGTGACTGAGGCTGAGAGGCCAGGAGCACACACTAAGTTTGTTAGCATAGTTTTGTCTTGTTTTTACACAGCTGTAGAGAAGCAAGGTTTGAACTGAAGCATTTTGGCTCCAGAATCTGCTGCGCCAGCCACTCTCAAACCTCCAGTCTCGGGACCCTCCGCTCTCTTAAAAATTGAGGACCCCAAAGAGCTTTTTTTTATGTGGGTTATATATACCAATATTTACCATATTTTTTTAAAACTTAGAAATAAAAAATTACTTATTGTTTAAAAGTATGATAATAAACCCATGACCTAGTAACATAAATAACTTTTTTTTGTGAAAAATAACTTTTATAAAGCAAAACTTGTTTGGTGAGAAGAATGGTGCCATGTGAGATTTTGCACATCTCTTTAGAGTAAAGCTAACTGGAAGGCAGCTGGCCCCTCCGCCTGCTTCTGCAGCCAGCCCACTTGGAAACCCCTTGTTCCCTCTGAGAGGAAGAGCAGAGGAGCCAGCGGGGTCCTGGTGTTGTTGGGAAGTGGTTTTCCCTCCAGACTCCCCGGGGGTCTCAGAGACCATGCTGGAGAAGCGCTGCGCTGCCTCCGAGATGGAGGAAGTGGTAGGGCGCTTGGAGCACAGCGGCAGCAGCTCTTTCACTCTGGCGGGGCTGCATGGGCGCTCAGGTGAAGAGGTGGCCTCCTGGGCGTGGGCCTGATGGTTGCGTGGCTGCTGTTTCTGGGAACCCTTGCCCCTGAGTGACCCCACTCTGCAGTCACTGCCTGTTGCTATTTCTTGGATCCTTGTCTCCTAAGTACCTACGTGGTGAAGGGCATTGTCCTAAAGCTGCAGGGAACAGGGCCCTAAACCTTACCCCTAAGAGGGGGTGCTTGTGCATGAGATGTAGGGTTAGCAGACCTTTTGTGAGTTTTCCTCATGGGAACACAGTTTTCCACCCTTCCTTATAGTTGCGGGGCATGTGACTAAGTTGTGGGCAGAAGTGAGGTAGGTCACTTCCAGACCTGGTCTCTAAAAGCCCTCCCACCCGGTTTCCAGTACTGTTTTCCCCCTCACCTGCTGGTGCCCCTGTGTCCTGACTGCTCACATTTTTATTATCATATTTCTTTATAATTCTTTGTCATCTCAGAGCCCTTTCCCACTGGCAGGCTGGGTGGACTGTGAAGTCTTTGGTTCTGCTGAAAGAGCGGTGGTCCCAGTGTTTGAGAGCTGTGCTCTGAGAAGGTCTAGTCCCTCTTCCCATGACAGTCCTTCTAGATTTAAGCAGTGATGGTGCCTTCAGTAGTCTTCACAAAATGTGGTCCTTTTCTCTCTCTCCCCCCACCGTCTCCGTTTCTCTCTTCCTCCCTCTCTTTCCCCCCCCCATCTCTCTCTCTCTAAATAGTGTGTGTATGTGTATCCTGCTGGTTTTGTCTCTCTGGAGAACCCTGACTGATACAGGTTCTGGTACTGAGAGTGAAGCACGAGGTTTCTGAATTGCTTCTGTGGTTTCTGGAGTCTCTAATCTGATTAAATTTAAAGCCACTGTAACTCTTATTTCCAGTAGCATAGAGGGCACTGGTGGTACATGCCATGATATGGCAATAGAGATACACAAAATATCACCATGGGAGGCTCCTAATCAAATTCTTTAAAAAGACAAGGTTCTGAGTGACCACGTATTTGATACTAATAACGTCTTTGTCAGACTAATGAGTATAATGAGATTGGCTGGACAAAGTGGAGACAGGAAAGGATGAGCTCAGGGCACCACACAAATGACCTGAACATTCCTATATCTGCCCTGAGGGAAACCCTTAGCTCCTGTAGCTGCAGGACTGAGACTTCTGAAAGCCAGATCCAGAGTGTCACCCTGTGAGCAGGTGAATCACAGCATAAATTGAAATTCTAGCTTGGCACAGCATCTGCTGTTAAGCTGAGGGCATTGATTGGGAAGAAATGGGATCCTGAAAATTGGGATGTGGACGTTGGGGAAGATCCTGGTGAAACTGGGGCCATTGAACCCCTAAATTCTGATGAATCTTCTTTGCCAGTACAAGCAGCCCGTCCACCCACATCTGAGGAGGTTAACCACACTTTGCCTGAGGAATCTGTAATGGCCTCATTGCCTTGCAAGACAATGCTGATTCTCCTCAGGACCCAACCCCACCACCCCTCTTTGCTTCTAGATTTGTTGCTAGACTCAAGTCCCAGCAAATCCTAAAAGATGAGGCACAAAGTGTGACCCACGAAGAGGTGTGCTACACTTTGAAAGAACTGCGTGATTTTTCAAATTTTATACAGACAGAAATCTGAAGAGTATGTATGGAATGGATATCAAAGGTGTGGGGTAATGGTGACAGGAATGCAAAGTTGGATCAGGCTGAATTTACTGAAGTGGGCCCACTTAGCAGAGATCCTGGTTTCCATGCCATAGCTTGAGGAGTTAGAAACGGCTCAACAGTGTGGTTGGCTAGCTGAGGTGTGGTCTAAAAGGTGGCGCACACTAATTGAAGTGTGAGCGTCAGAACTGCCTTGATGTGCTCCAGAGGAAGACTGCAAGGCTTGGGGAGATTGGAGTGGTGGAGTGGATTTTCACGTGAGACCTCCTCGCCCACCCTGGCAAGGTCCAGAGGACACACTTTTCACCATGACTATGGAAAGTAAATTTGTGAGGGAGCCCCAGCATCCTTGAAGAGCCATGCGGTTGCTATTCTCTGTAAGCCAGAAATTACAGTGGGAACTGCTGCGACTGAGCCTGGATCCTTAAATGCAGTGGGGATAATTGGATCCTGGGGTGGTGGGGTCAACTGGCAGCTTTTAATCACCAAAGGCAAGGGGGATGGTTACTGTAATGGACAGCAGAGTCAAAGCAGCAACCAGAATAGTCTGACTCCCAGAGACCTGTGGTGTCAGCTGATCAGTCATGTGCCCCTAGAAGAGAAGTAGATGGGCAGTCTAGTCAATTTTTGCTTGATCTGTATAAGCAGAAGAGTTCTAGGTCATGTGAGCAAGCATCTAGCTTGGATAAGAAAAACAGAGTCACAGCCCCTCAGTCCATTCCCAGACTTGGACTAGTTTACAGACCCAGAACATCTTGAAGGATGGAGAAGCTGGGTTCCCTTGAGGAAGGACCCCCAGCATGCAACCAAAAGTTTCTACTGTTTATCTTTCTCCCGGCCTTGCCCAAAGATGGCATCTTACCAGAGTGACAGTGCATTGGGGAAACGGAAATAATCAGACTTTTCAGGGACCGCTGGACTGGCTCTGAATTGTCACGGCTCCTTGGAGACGCAGAATGTCACTCTGGTCCACCAGTCAGAGTAGGGGATGTGGAGGTCAAGTACTCAGTAGAGTTTTAGCTCAGGTCCATCTCACGGTGGGCCCAGTGGGCCTCCGACCCATCGTATGGTTATTTTCCCAGTTCTGGAGTACATAATTGGGATAGACATATTCAGCAACTGGCGGAATCCAAACACTGGTTCCCTGACCTGAGAGGTGAGGGCTGTTCTGATGCGAAAGGCCACTGGAACTGTCTGTCCCTAGAAAAATAGTGAAGGAGAACCAACATCAGTTCCTGGAGGGATTGCAGAGATGAGTGCCACCGTCAGGACTGAAGGGTACGTGGGTATTCATAATAAACAAGAAATAATTTCACGTTCCTGCCAGGATTGCAGAGATGAGTGCCACCGTCAGGACTGAAGGGTGCAGGGGTATTCATAGTAAACAAGAAATAATTTCACGTTCCTGCCAGGATTGTAGAGATGAGTGCCACCGTCAGGACTGAAGGGTGCAGGGGTATTCATAGTAAACCAGAAGCCACTTCCTGTTCTCAGTGGTGTTCTTTGAAGCACAGATTTTAATTTTGATGAAGTCCAATGTATCTATTTTTTCTTTTGTCACTTGCCTTTTTGTGTTAAATCTAAGAATCCATTGCCTAATCCAAGATTACAGAGATTTACACCTATGCTTTCTTCTAAGAGTTTCATAGTTTTAGCTCTTATATTTAGATCTGTGATCCATTTTGAGTTCATTTTTGCATCTGGATATCCAGTTGTCTCCGCAACATTTGTTGAAAAGATTTCTTTCCCCATTGAGTCTTGTCACTCTTGTTGAAAATCAGTTGACCATAAATGCAAAGGTTTATTTCTGAACTCTGAATTCTATTTCATTGATCCTTACATGTAACCTTATGCCAATACCACACCATCTTCATTTCTATAGCTTTGTAGTAAGTTTTGCAATCGGGTAGTATGAGTCCACCAACTTTGTTCTTTTTTTCGAGATTATTTTGGCTGTTCTGGGTTCCTAGCATTTGCATATAAATTTCAGGATCACCTAGCCAATTTCTGCACAAAAGCCAGCTGAGATTTTCGTAGAAATTGGATTGAATCTGTAGATTATTTTGGGGAAGTTTAGCATTCTTAACAATGTAATTATTGATGTGATATAAAATGACTTATCCTATTTTATTTTTTTGTTGTTTGTTCCTTCTGGTCCTCATTCGTCTTTTTCTCTGCCTTCTTGTGAGTTATTTGAATACTATTTTAGAATTCCATTGTGATTTATCTATAGTGTTTTGAATATATCTCCTTGTATAGATTCTTCATTGGTCACTCTAGGTATTATATTATACGTAATACATGTATTTACATAATTTGTTGCAGCCTACTGATGTTGGCATTTTACCAGTTTGAGTGGTGTGTGGATACCTTCTGTCTTCGTGTGTCTTCACCTTAT